CGGGGGAGAGGAAGAAGAGAGCGGGTTTTCTCAGAGACATCTTCTGTCGTACCCAAACCCTGGGCTTTGACGTTTGACTCAAACCCAGAAGGAAGTGTGTGGTCCTCACACAGCTGGAACGCTCCGTTGGACAGACTGTTTATGGCTGATCCTGATGCTAATTTGATTTCAGTAAACCAGAAGGCAGACTCTCCAGATTCCACATGGTACCATTTTTTTTTTTTTCTTAATCAGTTAAGGTCGTTTCAACCACAAATTCTCCTCAAAACAGACCTGCTCGTGAACTTCCTAGATTGAACCTCCAAATCAAACACACATATTAAATTGCAGAAAAGATGAAAAATGTGTATTAAAGTGTGTGGCAGGAAAAATCAAACCTGCTTCATGCAGTTCAAATATTTGAAATCTTAAAAATACTTAGAAAAACGTCTCAAATTGAATCACTGAGGACTTTTGACCTCAGCTTTGACAGTCAGTTTATTCTAGTTCTAAACTGAAAACACAGAACAGTATTTCATTGAAATAGGCCAAAATAGATATATAAATATATTAAAACTATATATGTACACATATATGTATATTTATAGATACATATATGGATATATATATTTGTATAGATTGCATATTTATACATACATATAAACATTTACCTCATTACATGTCACATACGATATATATTTAAAAATATATTTTCAAATATATATAGTGGAAGTCTCTCTTTTTTGTTAGTGTTCCTCAATTATTATATGACTTGACTTTTCCATTCAGCTTCACTTCATATTACTATATATCACTTTATATTTACGTTGTAAATATATTGTCATATATATATATATATATATATATATATATATATATATATATACAGAAAGAAGAATTATTTGAATGAAAACCCAGTGATTCTAGAGCAGACTGTACGGAGCTGCAGCGCTGACACAGACCTGCAGCTTCTCATTCCTGCCTGTTAATGGCTGTGCCAGCCGTCATTCATCTCCTTTGAACATTTGTTTTAAGAAGCAAAACACACATTTCTGCCCATCCCCTCTACAGGATATTTATACCACACACACACACACACTCACACACACACACACTCACAGGTGTTTGTGTAACTCGTACGCTCTGCCTGGTGCCTTTACGTCTGATCTCAGTATTTATCAGAATCTGACCACAGATCTAATCCTTAATCCCAATCTAAAGATTTTCACTCCCTCACTCAGAGACACATTTCCAAGACAAAAACAATATAGTGAAGCCAGGAAGACGCACACACACACTCACACACTCACACACTCACAGTGGTGCGTGTGTGTGTGCGTGCAGGCACACACTCCGACCTGTTTCCACTGTATTAATGCCATTTATACAACAGTCGGACGTGTCAGCGCACGACTGAACGGCAACATAAATTATCAGCCTAACGTCGGCCTCTCAGCCAGTAACGGCACGAAGAGCAAAATCCAGAAGCAAAATAAACCATTGTAACTGGGCATGACTTACACGCAGCACATGACAATGGTAACGTCTGCCCTTGTTATCCACTCTGATCTGATCTGACTCTGAAACTGATCTGAAGATTAGGAGGAAATGTGTCAACTTCCACAACCTCAGCCGTGCTACCTGGGGTGGAATTGTAACAGAAGCTACAAATGATATCAACTACAATATAGCGCTGGTTGGTACCACCTGACACAGACACACACACACACCTCATCGTATCCAGGGGTTATATCACTGTTATTATTGTTAGTGAGAAAGCTGCCGTGCACATGGTAATTAGCAGCTACACCTACGCTACTTAGTAACGCACTCCCTCCTAACAACCAACCACATTATCTCTCCACTCCCACGGTGAGCTGACAGAACTGTGTCCTCAATCTTTGGTTCTGTCACCGCCTGGGTCTGCGCCCCCATTTTTATTATTTCACAGATAAATAAAATCCACTGAGAGCTGCAAAAAAAAAACCTCTACCTACAGAACCGCACACCTGGTCTGTCAGAAAGTGACTGTGTTGTTTTTTGCTGTTAGCAAGTTAGCTGAAAATTCAGGTAAAATTGGTTTCAAGTCACTTTAGACTAAATCTGATTTGTTGTTACTATTATTTTAGAACCTTTTCTTCTGAAAGTCCAAAAGATTTTCTAAATAAATGTTGAATCGAATGTGATCTAAGAAAACAATCATCAGATTAATTAGCTGCAGTGGTTGTCATGGAGTTGTAAATATGCTGAGGTTGAACTAACACGATGAAAAAAACAAACACCAGAAGAATTTATTTGGGGTGGGGGTGGGGGGGTGTATGTACATAGCTGAGTTCTGCCTTTGTTTTAAATGACTAAATACTTCAGTGGAGTCTTGACCCTTGGACGTTCAGCTGACTCTATGTCTAGTCACTACACCAGTGTCCATTCATCTTCAAAATGAGTCCAGAACCATTTAACA